CGAGAGTGGTATACCCGCTGAGGTGTAAATGTAATGTGTCGATACTGACAGCCTGATGGAACATGCGTAGAGGAAGATGAGGTCCTTCCTGGTGACTTGGCTCCGGGCATCCATGTACCTGTTCTAAAAATGGAGAAATCAGGGTGTGTGTGAACTACCACAACATGATCCTCACATCGATGTTACCACAAAGATGTTCGCAGCTATTCTCTTCAGGCGATTTTGGGCTGTGTGTGTGACTCTCAGAATAGGCCCAACCAGGGGGGATTCTGTGCTGGACGTGGATGTGCGAATCAGACAGTCATACTGGGGGGCCTTCTGAAATTCCTCGCAGAGGCTGTCTGCCTTGTTATCCCCTCTCTCCATCGTGATTCTGCGAGGCGGATAATTGCCCTCGATAGTGTACCGGCAAATATCATCGCCATGATCAAGACCTTCTAGCGCTCCACCACTGTACTAGTTCTGGTTCCCACCAATCTATCCCAATTGTTCTGTTCATCTACGCTGTTGACTGATTTCTTGGGAAAGCCGTATACGAAGTTGATGTTGTTGAATTTGCACCCGGACGCCGACTGACTGATCTCAACTACAATGATGAAATCATTTTGGTAATCCAAAGCTTTGATGATCGGCAGTCTATGGTGTTATGGGTACATTATGTCGTCAAAATGGTCTATTTATCCGTAAATGCTAGAAAGACTAAAGTGGTTCCAAGCTGCGTTTTTGACCAGAGAAAGGCACTTCTCACTTTCAGCTTGGACAAGTCAAAATCCCTCGGGTTAAGGCTGCTACCGAATGCATAGAGTAAGACTGGCATTGTCTCCTTAATCGATGTTGTTCGTTGGGTTTTCTCGAGCCGTAGAAAGTGCCTACGGATCCGACGTGATACCTCTATCCCCACGAAGATTAGCGTATACCGGGCATCCCTCCGGTCAATCCTTCTATGGATTTGAATGACGGACTGTGCGCCTGGAACATGAGCCAACACTGAAGGCAGTTGACAACCGCTGCCGGAAAGGTATTCTTTTGCTGAAGTACCCCGCCTTCGTCTCAAATGAGGCCGTCTGCACTCGCTACAGCGGCAACATCGCAAGGATATCCCAGACCAACCAAGAAAGACGACTGAAGTGGTTTAGGCACGTTCTTCGTCGTCCACCTCATGGCTAGTTACTACTGCTGCTGGCTGTCTGGCTAGTAGCCCTTGTTGGATCAGGAGCCTCGCCGGGTGGGCCTCATTCCCGGCGGCGAGGAGGAGGAGTCGGAGCAGCATGGTCGGAAGGGGCTGCTC